ATATATATATATAAGATCATTTTAGCCTACGATCAGGGGCGGACTGGCCATTGAAAGCACTGGGACATTTCCCGGTGGCCTGATGGTCAGTCGTGTATCTGTCCTGCCCGCCTGTGTTCATCATAACGGAAAGCTACATCATGTTTGCTGACCTCATGCTTTGTGAAGCCCTGTCAGTCAGTCAGTCAGTCAGTCAGTCAGTCAGTCAGTCAGTCAGTCAGTCAGCCAGTCAGTCAGTCAGTCAGCCAGTCAGCCAGTCAGCCAGTCGGTAATTAACCTTAAAAGGTTAAACAAATAACGCACAGCACTACTACAATTACATTAATTGTATAACTATTTTTTTACCCACGATATTACTTTCTCTTTCTCAGAATTCACGCCCGGGAGCATCTGACATCATGTACCTCCCTTATGACATGCATTAGGGCTTCCTCTATCGGTTTACACCTAAAACATGGATTGTCGTAAAACTCGTCAACGGCAGCAAAAGAGTTAAATGATTTAAAAAAAAAATTTTAAGAAAAAAATTTAAACTGCTTTTGTTCTAGCCAAAATAAAAGAAACAAGACTTCCTCCAGAAGAAAAAATATTATGGGAAATACTGTAAAAAAACTTCCAGAATCTGTTCAACATCATTTGGGAAATATTTGGAAATAATTCACAAATAAGACTTTATCCAGATGAACAAATGTTATAGGAAATACTGTGAAAATGTCTTGCTCTGTTAACCACTTAAACTCTGCAGACCCGGTACCGGGTCCGTGACGTCATCGACTTTCGCTTTCAGATTTAAAGGGCTAACGTTGCACCAGACTCCCTTAAGTGGTGTCACTTGAAAGTGTAGAATCTATATTTTATGCATATATGCATCACTTTGGTTTTAATTCTACTGTATAAAAGTTGTTTACACTTAAATACACAGTATTTTGGAGACCCGTGCTGGGTATTGAACATTGGTTCATTTTCATATTTTTTTATGACACATGTACAAGTTATAGCTCAAATGAAAGCTCTTGCCGGTGCTCATACGGTTCTAGCATTCTTTTTACTAAATTATATTCACTTATCAAACAGTTGCCGAATGAATCGTGATGTTTCCATGGCACAGAAATGTAAACAATACATTTTTGATCAATAAGCAGCCCCAGATAGCACAGACAGCCGTCATCTCTTACCTTATGCTGTGCACTTCAGGGCCATTCTCCTCTGTTTTTGAGGTGATGTGCATAAGTCATCCTTTTATATGTCTGACGTGCTCCAAACACAGTGAATTATGTTTGATCAAACAAAAGAATAGTGAAATATGAAAACAATGATCGCTCCCTGTGGCTTGTACAGCACCTCTCATCAGTTGGATCACAATAACTTTTGCATAGATTATGGTGGAGACCTTTTTCTTTTTTCCTATGATTACAGACATGTGCAGGAACCAACAACATTAATTACAGCAACCCTAGACCACACAGAACCTAAAGGGTACACTTTCAAATTTGAGTTTATAAAAACAATACAAAAAGTGCCTCTTTTTTTAGGTGTTTATTATAACACAGACAACATATACAGATATTTTAAACACTTTCAATAGAGTTTTATGAAAATTCAAAGGGTTTTCTTTAAAATAATACCAAATTTTTGCATGTACACCCCTGCATGTGGATTTGGGAAGCTTTTAAATTTGGGTAGGCAAAATCCAGGCGGAAATCCCCAAATAGCAGCAGAGTTTTTAAACATCATTTGGGAAATATTTCAGGAGGGCGAACAATTCTGACTTCAACTGCATATCTGCCCCTCTCTGCGTGATGTCTTAATGTGCTTTTGTTTTTCTCCTTGCTCCCGACAGATCGCTCTCCTCCAGCTGTCGTCCTAAATTAGCTGAGCTCAGTGAAAGAAGAGCCGTTTTGGACTGACCCTTTCTGCTCCCTGAAGCTCCAGCCGTTCGTGACACCCAAATGCTGCCTGTCTTTCATCAAACTGCTCACTCCTGAAGGGAAAAAATGGACTTGGAGTAAAAAGGGGGGCCCTGTATGTGGGGCTGACTCCCTTAAGGACAACTAGTTGAGATAGCTGGGTGACCTATGACAATGTAACCGATAAGGGGACTTGAGTTCTTGGTTTCCCATGCAGGATATGAGGTTTTTTGAGCCGTGGGATTCAACCATCAATTGAACCTTCCATTGCTCCTCTAACGTCATGCAGTCATCGGAGGAATTGTTTAGCAGGAAGCTGAAAGCATTGAACGGGAGTATGGGACATCCAGCGGCCAACACGCAGGGCAAACAGGAAGTGGGTGGTAAATCCAACGGGACGCCTGCCATGCCTAAAATGGGGGTGCGAGCTAGGGTGACCGATTGGCCCCCGAAAAAGGAGGGTTGGGGACCCAACTTTGAGGCCTTCCAGAATGGACAGCCTGACCAAAATGTGGAGTTTACAGATTTAAATGAGGAACACGATACTAAATATTCCCTTAATGACCTTCTAAGTCGGTCCCCTTTAAAGGGGCTTCATCCGATTCGCCAACGGAGTAACAGTGATGTGACTATCAGTGATATTGATGCTGAGGATATAATGGACCAGAACGCCGTCAACCCAAACACTGGCGCCTCATTGCATCGGGAATATGGCAGTACGTCCTCTATTGACCGACAGGGACTTGGGAACGATGGATTCTTTACAATGTTACGAGGATATCGGATTGATCATTTGGACCATCGGAGTGCCCCACCGGTTGGTTTTCCAGAACTCCTCCGCTATGATACTGCGCTCTCCCCAAGCCTCCAGACAGCTGCTCAGATATCCCGAGGAGAGATTGTTCACATTTCAGGTAGGCTTATGACAATGATGTGTTTTCTTGATTAATTGCTAGATATTTTAACACAGTTTACGGTATTAGTGTTGTCACGATAATGAGATTCGGTACCAATCAGTACTGAAGTTTGAAAAAAACATCCATTTCCTGCTAACATCTGCTGTTGAGCACGTTCTTAAACAGCGCTGATTTGCCATTGTGTTCATGTGCTCAACAGAAATGACTGTGATTGGCCGCGAAGGTCATCATTTCACTAAACTCACCGCTGTTTACTGAGTGTAACCACAGATTTAAGTACACTGGAGGGTTTTAAAGCCACTGAAGATCAGCTGGCCTGTTTATAAGCTGACATACCAGCAATCCTCTGATAAATCGACTGATCTTTACAGCTTTTAAACGCTCCAGTGTCCCTGTCTCTGGGTTTACACTCAGTAAACAGTAGTAAATTCGGTGAACTGATGATCTTCACGACCAATCACAGTCATTTCTCTTGAGCATGTGAATAATGACAAATTAGCGCTGTTATGAATGCACTCAACAGTGCTCAAGCGTTAGCGGGAAATGGACGTTTTTTTAAATTTCAGTATCGATCGGTAACGAATTCCAGTATCATGACAACACTATATGGTCGAGCTGCACAATTAATCGATAAAAGATCGCAATCTCGATTCGACCCCCTAGACCACAGGTGTCAAACTCAGTTCCAAAAGGGCCGCAGCTCTGCACAGTTTAGTTCCAACCCTAATTAAACACACCTGATCAAACTAATTGAGTCCTTCAGGCTTGTTTGAAACCTACAGGTAAGTGTGTTGGAGCAGGGTTGGAACTAAACTGTGCAGGGCTTCGGCCCTCCAGAAATTGAGTTTGACACCCTGCCCTAGATGATCTTAATCCAGCAGTTCTACGATTCTGCTAATCATATTTTCAAGTTCAGGAGAGAAGAAAAGGCGGCTGCACGAGTCTTTTCATTGTTTCACATATATTGCTCAGTGACATTGACACCTCCAAATGATGTTGAATGAGTCTCATACTGTATTTATAATGTATAATTCACCTAAAAATGTCAATTTTGTCTTCATATAATGATGTTTTTGCGGCCGGGAGATCTACTTTAGTGAACAGAACCTGCATATGTTGCGAGTAGCAGCTAATACAGTTGTAAATAATATTCAGTTTGTGGCACAGAGTGATCGTTTACGAGCCGCGCACAAAGAATGAACAAGCACATAGCAGTCAAAATGAAACCGAAAGTGTGCACTTCATTTAAATGATCATATCACATTTTAGAGTTATGATTACAACAAGCATTTGATATGTTTTTTATTTCATAGCGAACCCACAGTTGTGCATGAAAATAAATGTTTACAATGTCAGTATAACTACTCTAGCCTATATATTGTTGAATATAATCTGATAATGCTAAATGTCTGATTTTACCAGTGAATTAAATTGTCTAATATGACAGATTGCAAGCATAAATCTCAAACATAATAATTCAACATCAGAATTATTATAAGTAGAATAGAATTATTTATAGAAACCAGTAGACCTACACATAATATTATTATCGAGGTTGTGCCATGTGTTTGTTTTTACCATACCTTTATTTTACATCTACAGAATCGTAAAAAAATCGTGATCTTTATTTTAATCCAAAAATATCGCGATTCTCATATTAGCCAGAATCGTGCAGCTCTACTATATGGTATTATCAAAATATTGACAATAGGCTATTGACCTAAGGATAATTCTGCAGACATTTTTTTTCAGTTTGACAAATATCTGCATATTGGAATGAAGGTTAGTTGTTTTTACTCTGTTTCTTTTCTTAGCCAAAGACATGCAACAAAACAAACACATTATTAGTGCTGTGAGTAAGCGTCATCTATTTTACATAGATATAAAAAATAAATTGAATCTATTGCGTGTTTAATGATATGCTGTAATAAATGTAAACTTTTCTTATGATATATGGAATATATATAGACATTACATGAAACATTAGGTCATGAAAATTGACTTAAAAGTCTTGGAAGTAAAAATGTGTATGAACCCTGACACATGCACTGTATGTATCCTGCGCTCCTGAAAAATACACACAAATTCCTTGTGCGCGATTAATGCGCATTCTGATTCTGATATTGATTTATCGAATATCCTCTAATTTCAGGCTACGACTATGTGGACAGCTCCCTCCTCTATAGTCGAGAAAGAGAAAAGTCCTTTATGCGGCGCCTGAAGTCGGAATCATCCGAGACGTCGCTCTTCAGAAAGTTGAGGACTATAAAGAGCGAGAGCGATGCTTTGAGGCTCTCCACAGAGCAGGAGGACCGCCGACCTCTTAGCTTTCAGAAATGCTTCGCTCATTATGATGTCCAGAGCGTGCTTTTTAACATCAGCGAAGCGGTGGCCAATCGGGTAAGCCTCAGTCAGAGGAAAAACACCACCACTGGAGCTTCTGCAGCATCCCAGTACCAAGTTCCAGGAGCGGGGCAAGTTTGCGGGAATATTACAGCACCTACATCACTGTTTGAATCGCCAATGGGAAGTCGGGAAGATCTCAATCCCAAGGAGAATCTAGATGCGGATGAAGGAGATGGGAAAAGCAATGGATTGGTGCTAAGTTGTCCACATTTTCGTAATGAAATTGGTGGCGAGGGGGAGAGGAGGATTTCTCTCTCTAGGGCCAATAACACCAGCTACACGGCCGGAGGAGAAAATTGTTCATTCGAGTCTTCATTGAGCTCCCACTGTACCAATGCTGGCGTGTCTGTACTGGAGGTGCCGAGAGAAAGCCAAGCGATCCACCGCGAAAAGGTCAAGCGGTACATCATCGAGCACATCGACCTGGGAGCGTATTATTACCACAAATACTTCTACGGCAGAGGTAAGCCCTTGTCCTTTTGTGTTTGAGTTGAGTCTTGTTTGCTGAAGTTGAAGTGAAATGTGAACTGACCTTTTGGGTTTCGGGGGGGTTTTGGTGGGAGTGATCCATCTGTGTTTATTCCCAAGCAAACGCCTTCTCTTTTTGGTGGATGTAACAAAGCTTGTGCTGGTGTTGGAATTTAAACTTAATGCTGTAATGCAAAATTGTTTTAGTAAGTTAAACTAGTGCTAGGTTGTAGTATTACTGGTTGTATTGCTGATTGTTAATAATAGGCATCAGATTCTGACGGCATGATAACCTCCGATAAAAATATCACGGTTTCACGGTATTGTGATGACTGCTCTAAAATATATTCTTTTAAAATGTCTGGGTGAAAAACAAAAACTTTTTCCATTTAAAAACAGTATATTCTATTTTTTAAAAGATTTATGATATTTTGGAGAAGTAAACTGGTCAGGCTAATAATTTAGATGAATCATTGACTCCTGCAGACTTCATTTGTAATCTGCTTCACACTTTGTATGGAATATACACATTTATGTAATAACCCAAGATTTATTACCTCAGACAAACATAGCGCGTTTAAACACTAAGGGTGTCACGTTCCTCCAAATCCTCGATTCGATTACATTTTCGATTCTAAAGTCATGGCTCGATTAGATTTTTTGATTATGAATTAATTAATTAATTAATAACTAATTAATTATTTGTAGCCTACCGTTTAAACTACCTGACCTGCATGGTCTTTGTTTTACCCATAAACAAATCATACAGTACATAAACATACAGTAAATGAATAAAGGCAAGATACACACATAATTACCACCTGTCAATCACTTTTTCTGCGGGACTCGTGAATAGGCAGTGATCTGTGTCGTTATAATGGCGTCGGTAAAAAAGACGCACAACCAACAGGAACCAGCCAACAGTATCTGAGGTGTTCGCTAAAATGACAAAGTACAAGTGAGTGAAAGATTGAAGCAGTCCTCTGACTGCCTGGACCTGCTGTCTCGAGCGCATGACTGTGTGTGTGTCTGTGTGGTCACGTGATGTGCGTTTTTAGCGATAGTGAGGAAGTAGGGCTGCTCAGAAATGCTACATGCCAGTGTTGATGTTAATCGTTGTTGTTCTAAAATGCCATTTAAAAAAAAGACAGTGTAAACAGGGCCTGAGTGTGTACTTTTCGCGAGCGGATTTGCAACGGGGGTGGGGCGGAGGATCGCGATGCCGGTGTTGTCTATCGGACGAACCCTAATACGTGCATAGCAGAGCTTGCAAAACTGTGTTTTTTATTTTTGTCGACAACACAAACGTTGTCAACATAACTCACTGGAAATCCAAAATGCTTCCACACCGGCGACTTCATTGAAAGAGGAGAGGGTTTAAGTTCTGTCGACGGGTCTCCTGCGTCTGCAGTTCAACAAGCACTTCAACGGGCGTGTTTTTTCCTGCTTGGCAAGCCAAGCTGACGTGACATGGGGGCGTGGCAGCATCGACGATTCTATTTTTTGATTCGATAATCAAAATTGAGAATAAATTTCGATCGATTTCGATTTAAAATCGAAATCGTGACACCCTTATTAAACACTGCAGTGCTTTTTACTTTTCTCCATAAGCTGCAGCAATGGTTTGTTCGTTCGTCATCCTCTGAGAAAACGATTGAGGGTCATCTTGTTACGAGAGTTACCAGGGCAGCGCGAGTGCAAAGCACAATGAAAATTGGGAAGGAAACCACACGTCCACGCTTGACACTTCAGGTCAGAATAACAACACACGTATGGCCTGGGCAAGTGAAGGAGAGCAACAATAATAAATGTGTACCTCACAGTACCTTAAAGCTAAAAAGTTAACTTTAAAGATACAAATGTGTATCCCTAAAGGGACTAATAATGTCAAAATGTACACTACAGAGGTGTACAACCTCAATGACAGATTTTGTACCTTCGTTTCTGAAAGTGTATGGTCTAGGAAGAATTCAATAACTGATATCGGGCTATTAGTTGAGTGCTAACCAATAGACAAAACATTCTTTAAAGGGTCACGAAACACCAAAACACATGTTTTGAGCTGTTGACAGTCGTATATGTGTCCCACACTGCTAAAAACACTATTAGGACACCTATATTTCACTAAAAAGTGTAAATTGGTTGTTTTTGGGTTATTTCAAGCAAATTCGTACTTCTGGTTTGAAGCGAATTTTTGAAGCTGCGTCACGTCCATGACATAACAGCGTGTATTCCAGCATGCAGACTGGACGCCTGTGCCAGAGTGTGTCTTATTACGTCTCAGAGTGTGCTGCATTAATGCATGAGTAAAGCTTGGTTTAAACCAATCAGCGCCCTCTATTGTGCAACTTCATTAATATTCATTAGTCACAATGTTTAGACGACAGAGACGCCACGTTGTGTTGGCAAAACAAGCGTGAAGTGTTGCTTTTATAGTTTGCTGCAGTTAAGTTTTGTTTTCATTTTCTCTCTTTGAGAGCGCAGCTGGAGTCACGTGTGGATTAACAGTGTACGCGACGCTCGACAACAATAACTTACGTGTCTAAGGAGGATTATTGTTTACCTGAGAGCTGTTCTCATCTGCAAATGCTGAGATCCGGATTGGCTTGTAGTCTCCTCTTAATAAAGATGCGGCTCTAGTTGCTGGTGATTGTCCTGTCTCTACAGATTCGTATCGAACAAACTATTGCACCGAGTGTAAACATGTTAGCACTGCAACCAAACTTTAACCTCGTGTAGGATTTTTACCGCATTTAGTGACCGGAATAACACACGCGGCTTTCTGACACTACCTGCCGTGTGCATCTAAGTTTCTGGGATATGCTGAGGGTTTTTTTCTCTCATTCGCCGTGCGGTATCAAACATTGCATGAAAAATACACGCTTAGAGCAGCTCCTCGAATCAAATATCTCATTTGTCGCGAGGGGCATGAATGAATTGCCTGAATGAAAGAGCCAAACTGCAGTTAAAGTCCACCATTTAATAATTTGTTTAAGAATTCGACTACAGATGTCCATGTACACACAGTCACTTTCTCCCCTGTGTTTGTGTGTGTTTGTGTGTGTGTGTGTGTGTGTGTGTGTGTGTGTGTGTTTTGACTCTAAAACTCAGCTCGCCCAAATAGACACTCCCACACCCTTCCACTTTAGTTCCTCCGACACTCCCCCTAAACAGAGCTGGACACGCCCACTTTTCAGACTTTTTCCAAAGTAAAGGTGTGAAAACACCCTGCTGAAACGAGGGGGCTTCATGGCCCTTTAAATTTCAAATTCACATCAAGCTTAAACTCCCTCCTTCTTTAAACTGCATTTAAAATAAATAGTTGAATGCACAAGGCTAATCAGTGTCTTAAATATAACCCGGTACAGATGAAGACGGCTCCGCTGCACAGAGGAAATTGAGCTCTTCTGCTTGATAGGTCTTTGGCGACGCTGCACGGCGCATGATTATCTATTTCCCAATAGAACGAGCTGGCTAACATGATTTATTGTCATCTGAGCTGGGCTGTAATTGGCTCATTCGCTATGGTTGGAAAGTCTGTGAACGTGCAGGACACAATCGCAGCTTTCACCCACAGGCCTCGGCTCATTATTCAGCAGGCAGTCAAAGGAAAGAAAGCCGTTTCTGCATGGCGAGAGGTGGAGCAGCTGTTTTTCCAGAGCTTAGGAACGGGTAACACAATCCTGTCAGGACTATGCAGATGTGCAGACATGCAATAAAAAAAGAGCAGCCGCTGACACCTCAGTCATACGGTTGAAGTCAGAATTACTAGACCTCCTGAATTATTAAGCCAGAGTAAAATGAAGGGATGAATTATTTTCTGTAAAGCTGCTGTTTTTTCATACCTATATGGTTATTATAAGAGGCGTGTTTAAGGTATTAAATGCAGCATCCTTCATTTATTCTCTTATGCCTAGTTCAGACTGCGTGATTTTAGCCCCGATTTTGGCTCGCCGACAAGTTTTGAGAAATCGCCGACAAATGCCTGGAATCACAGGCAAATCGCTGCTCGTGCACGTGAGTGACAATCACACAGTATGAACTATCAAAGACGCGATCTGAGAGAATCGCCGATGAGCCGCCGATGCCTGTGAGATATTTGGCGTGCTGAATATCTGGAGCTGTCGGCGATTCAAATCATGCCGTGTGAAATGAGTTTTGACTGAAAATAACATCAGCGATCGCCTACAGCCAATGAGAGAGCAGCATTCACTTGTGTGTGCGTGTGTGTATACCTGCTGCAGGCCAGCGGGAGGCTGGCGGAGAAGTTAAAAGCGCTCTTTTTCGGTTTATTTAGACCCACGAAATGGAGGAAAAACTAGTGGAGGTTTGACAGGACTCAGGAGCAACCGTGTCTGTTTGACGTTTCATACAGAAAGAAATTAGTTTATTATCAACGTTGAGGAGAAATGGCTAATTCCCTTTAAACCCAGGTGAGCAAACATGTACATGTTCTACCCCATTAAAGGCTTCTTTCTCATTATGTAGTTAATAACAAAAGATATACAACGTATTTTTGGCTGTGAGACGTAGTTATGACGAAGTTGTCGATTCTTCCTATAGTAAAGTCATGCAATGTGAAAGTCCCTGTCGCCGATCCATCTTGCAGTGTAAACAAAGCAGCGACGAAACGCTAGCCCAGATAGTCAAGCAGTGTGAAAACATCTGTGACACGACTACTTTGACAATCATGCAGTCTGAACTCGGCATTAGGTAAGGCAAGATCTTCTCTTATGGTTCAAACTTAGTGGGAAATTGTGCTTAAACCATTATAAAGCATGAAGCATTAGAATCAGTACTCCGTATCAGCCGATCACCATGACAAGGAATTAGTAATCAGTATCAGCTGCAAAAATCCTGATCGGAGCATCCCTAGCTTCGACCCAACATTGCTATCAGAGCGGCAATACTCCCCTTGGCTGGACAAGACTGATCTTACTAAGTCAGTAAATACACCCTTATGCTGCGTTCACACCAGACGCGGAAGAAGCGTCA